TTCTGCTTGCATCTCCGTTACTCCTTTCTTTCTTGCGCTACGCATCTTTCTTTCCTTTCATCCGATTGCTTGAGAATTACGTGAAAATTCGATCGATTGTGAGCTTGCGTGTTTAAATATAAGGTTGTTTGCAGACAGAAATATTTATATCGCGATACATGCTTAATGGATATGGAATGTACACGTACTGTTATGGACGCGTTCACACGAAGACACAGTATCGCGATACCGATTTCGTGTATTTCGAGAATCTCAGCCGCCAGCGATATTTCTCGTACGGTATGATATCGACAGCCAAGGCGTCGAAGAAACAAACAAATTGCGTCATAGACGCGGGAGTATAAGTTATCATACAGAGACAAGCAAATATTTGAAAAATGATTTAAAAAATATAACATCTTGATGTTATTTCAAAATTAATTCTATCTTAATTTATTTGGACAAGAAATGTTTTTTCTTGAAATTATTTCATTATTTGACTATTAAATAAGATAATTTTTTATTTTAGTTTGTATTTTAACACATTTGTTGTCACTTTATCTGGTGCTAAAGCCTTTTTAAACTCGGTTTGTGACCGATTGGTCCAGTAGACTGACGTGTCTATTGATCGATCACATTGGCAATAAATATGTTAAATTTGTTTCTATAAGTAATTTTTCAATTTTCTGGTTTTGTTAAGTAAACTTTACTTTGTGCTGTGATTATTTCTTATTCTACTTCATTGGATTAATTGATAATGATCATTTATTTGGTTTTTATTATTTTGGTTATTCATTTATTTGAACATAAGATAAAGTCACTTTTGTTTTGTTATTTTTAAAATAAAAATAATAAATTCATGAAAATGATTCGTTATTTCAAATTGTTAATTTTTACCTTTGTATCTGATGAAATTTGCTCAATCCTGTATTAACAATAATAAGTTCGTTAGTCGTTAATATTAAATGTTAGCGCCCATTTTTTTTTCAAAAGCAGTTTCTAAATTCGTGATCTGTTCCGAAAGAAGACTTGGGAAATGAAACATTTAGCACAAAATCCAGATAGATTGGACTAAGTGTTGTTTATATTTAATTTCCAAAGATGTATCTCGTACACTTATTGCGATGCTTGTGTCTGGGATGAAAACACATGTATGATGGATACCGAAAATACAATGTTTCACAGAATTAGTTTCAATACGACTTCAGATAAAATCACTTTGCAGACGCTGTGCTATGAAGTTAATATTCTGGAAAACCTCGCAAAGTCTAGGAACGGTCCAATCACGATTGATAGATAGCCAGGTCCAGAGGAATTTTGAAAAATCTGTTCTGTTGTCAAGTCGTCCGCGCGACCTTGTGACTTCTCATCAGGGACATTACGGACTAAAGGTGCATTGGAAAGGAATCGACGAGTGCCAACGAGGCTCGGAAAATAGTCTTATTGTTAGTTCAGCCTTTAGTCAATCAATTTTAATTCAATCTTTAGTCAATCAATCTTACAATTAGTTCACTTTTTAGTTAGTCAGTCTTACTTCAGTCAGTCAAAGCCGCAGCCTTTAGTCAGTTAGTCTTAGTTCAGCATCCAGTTAATCAAGATTGCAGCCCTTAGTCAGTCTTACGATTAGTTCAACTCCAGGTGGTCTGTCTGTCTTACTTCGGTATCTAGTCAAAAGTCACAGCTTTTAGCCAATCAGTTCATCATCCAGTTAATCAAGACAAACAGTCTTCATTCGTAATAACATAGTTAGTCAGAATCAGTTGCGATCAGGCTGATTTCATAAACATAAGTCAACAAACAGCAACCAAATCATTCAAGTGTATTTAGTCTCACATCAATAAGCAGTCTTTTGATTTGTAATCTTGCGCTAGGCAATATTCAAGGCCGAAATATAATTTACACATTTACACATTTTACAAAACTGATAATTCAGCCTTTTTCACATGAAAATACTTGATACACGTGATACACGTATGATGGATACTACATATATGAAAATAAACATAGCTTATCACATTCATATAATGATCCTCATAACGATTCAGTAACGCGATACCGATTTTGTCTATCCTACAACCTCAGCAGTTGGCGATACTTTACAATGTCAAGACGTTAAAACAAATTGCATCATTACACGGAAATGTATGATATCACATAAAAACAGACTTCAGTATTATTTAAATAAAATATTTGAAAAATAATTATTTAAATAATTTATTTTATTTGGCTTGATGTTATTTTGAAATAATTTTACTCTAATTTATCTAAATAAGAAAAATAATTTTCTTATAATTATTTAATTATAAATTATAAAATTAAAAATTTAATTAATTTTTATTAATTTAAAATTATAAAATTATTTAATTATTTAGCTAGCAAATAACATAATTTTTTATTTTATTTTGTATTTTAAATTTATTTCTATAAATAATTTTCCAAATAATTTTTGATTCCGTTGACTAAATTCGACTTTGTGTTGCGATTATTTGTTATTCTTCTTCGATGAGTTAACTCGAATAAAAAAATAATTTACAAATCATTCATTTGATTCAGGCACAATATAAAGATAAGATACTTCTTCTGTGTTATTTTTAAAATAAAAATAACAAGTTAATGGGAATGATTCATTATTTGCAATTTGCCCAATCCTGGATAAACATTATCACTCAGTAACATCAAATACTCGCTTCTCTGAATTCACGATCAATTCCGGAAAGACACTCGAGAAAACGGACATTCAATAAACGATCAAAAGAGATAAAACTAAGTGTTTATATTTCCAACATGTATCTCATACGCATATCTCGAATACTTATATCGGTGATACAAATTTCATCTGAAGTATTATTATTATTAATTTATAAAATAAATTCAAATTCAGATGTTTACTACTGGATAAACAGTGCAATGGATACACAAGCGGTAAAACTCAGGAGCGAGGTTTAATCAGTCTCTTCGCGTGGCTAACCATAAATCCATCAACTCAGAAATTATTTCCGTTGAAAGTACAGCGAGACGAGGCAAAGATAATCTCCGGTGTGCGTTAAGATTCGAAAGGTGGAAGAGGGTGTGGAAAACGAAACGAAGGAGAGAGGAGAGAGAAATGAAAGGGAAGAAGAGAGACCGCGAGGAAGCTCGTGTCCCAGTAGCATACATTATCTCATTTCCTTTCGACTCCTTTTCGTTCCTCGTTCTCGTCCCTTCGCTTTCCTCCTCGTCCGTTTTCTGCGCCGGCCTGCAAACACCCCGCCGCTTCTTTCGCCGACCCGAGAAAACCTTCCTTCCCCTTGGTTTTCTCACATAATCATGCATTTGCATGCAAACTTGATATCACTACTTAAAATGTAAAACAACTCGTGCGCGTCTTGCCCATCGCACTTGCGACGGCACTCTTTCCCTTGGCTTCTTTGAGAACGAAAACCGAGCGGCAAACTGCCGGTGAAAATGGACGCCGTGATGCAACGCGGAGACAAAGAGGTGTAAATGAAAAATCGATGTCGCGACAGATTCATTCGGCGAATGGTTAATTCGTGGTTGAAGACAATATGTACTTAGATGTTTCTATCAGACAGTCCCTCTTTAATTAATTAGATGAGCAAGAAATTTAAGTTTCTACAGAAATGCAAGATTCTAACTTAGTGTACTCTATACGGGGTATACACACAATTACACAGAACAAACTTCATTGTGTATCATAAGTTTTTACTTAATTTTATGTTATATATATAAAAGTGAACCGCTGTGATGATATTTTCTATCTCTAGTAATACAGGATGTTCATAAAGTCTCTTTACAATTGCAAAAATTTATTACAAATGCAAATGAAAAGACAGTTAATTATTACAAAATGAGACGTATATATTTAAGTTTTTATTTTTTTTTTTTTTTTTTTGCCTCGTTTAATACATCTCTATATGGGCGACATTAGTTGCACGAAGCACATTAAGACGGTACTCGATTTTTTGCCATGTTCGCTGTAGCATACCTTCATCAGTGGTCGCAATGGCATCAGTGATCCTCTGCTTTAGATTAGATCTTAGATTAGATTACCTTTGGTCGATACACGATATCTTTAACATAACCCCCACGTGAGTGTCCATAAAATCTCTTTACAATTTCAAAAATTTATTACAAAGGCAATTGATGAGATATCTTCATCAGATTTGTTCTATGTACTCAGTGATTATCAAGGTTTTTATCACATTACATTGCAGGTACCTTGTTGATGAATAAAATACTGTTGGCCCCTTACTCTTCAAGAGAAGGCACAATGTGTATCATAGTTTATTGAAACCAAATCGGATCTGCAGACTCAGCGAAACTTCAGAACTTTGTAAATATGGAAAAGATCCATCGTCACGTCCATCAATTCATGCATGGCACAAGAAATTTATGGAGACAGGGGCAATGTTCGATAAAGGGAATAGTGGACGACCAAGAACATTGATCGTGTAAGAAATTGAGTACCGTCTTGATGTGCTTCGTGCAACTAACGGTTCCCAGATAAAAGTGTATTAAATGAGGTAAAAAAACAAAAAAAAACTTAAATACGTTTCATTTGGTAATAATTTCTACTTTCTTTTCATTTGCTTTTGTAATAAATTTTTGAAATTGTAAAGAGACACCATGTACATCATACCGGTAAATAAGTTGCGTAAAAGATCCAGTTTCAACTGGAATTGATGCATTTTAACGATGAAACGAGCAACAGTGGAAAAGAGAGTAGCAGAACGATAAGAACGATGGAAATTTCTCGTGATATTCATATTTCGTACAATTGTTTACAGGCTCTGCTAAGATGAGACGGACAATGGCGTTTTGTCTACAGGGACGTCAAACTTTATCGAACAATGAGTGGTTGAAAACTTGGGAGAAGATATTGTCACCTAGTGCGCAACGATGAAAAATGTTTAACCAACTTTTATTTGATCCGTGTTGCTCTCTTGTATCTTTGGTCGAGAGACATTGATAACAAAATAAATGCGAGAAAAGATTTTGCATTTTAAATATCATGGACTCACCCAATCCCGCATGACCAAAGCAAAATAGACAACCATCCGTTCCATTGATAACCGCGTGGATGACATCTGTCAGGGCACTTGAACAGATCTCGGTCTGAAACAAATGTAATAAATGTTATACGAAGAAAAAAAAAAAGAGAGAGAGAATTTATGCAGACAGTTTAAATAAAATTATTCATATGGCAAAACAAAGAGAAAAGAAAATATTGTTTCTCTTCAAACAAGCGTTCTTTCCAACATTTTTCTTCTATGTACTTTTGCACGGCGATAATTGATATCAATTTGATTATCCTAAATTGGTTTCGAGTTAAGTTATTTAACGACGACAGGCAAGGCACTTTCAAGCACGATGGACGCGATTTTAATTGTTCCTCATCGTGACAGGGCGGTGGGGTTGTGCTCGTCCTACTCCTAGGGGAAGAGGAGAACGAGACACCAACCGGGACTTTCGAGGGTAACGACGAAGCTTAACTTAAAGTGCTTAAGAAAGCGTTTGCGGGACGGTTTAATAAACGGAACGAGCGTTATGTCCGCCGAGTGAAGACAGCGCTTCCAGAGAGACAAGAACGCGAGGATTACTGGAGGAGCGGCTTTGTTTGCTTTTAATATATTCATAGACTGGAAAAGTCTTCTTTGGGGGCGAGAAAGAGCGCGACAACGGACAGATTTTTAGTTCCTCCATCTTTCGCCAGACTGCGCCCGTTTCTCGTTACGCAGATTTGCGAGAGCGGTCGCGGTATCATGTCTGCACTCTCGGCGAAGCTAAGTAAAGGATTCTTGCGAAAAAATGAGGAAGAAAGAAAAAAAATAGGAAGGAAAGAGACTACGAATCGATGAAAGGGGGTGTCTCTCGTTCTGGAATTTCCTGCGGAAGTAACCGGAAATTTCCTTCGAGCCTGTACTCGATTCGTTCTAACCGATCGATATAGACATCGACCATTCTCTCTTTTACTCTCGTAAGGGTTAACAAACGTTTCGCGACCAAAAGGGGCGGCCAGAGCCAGAGACGTGGTAAGAGTGTGAGCAAGAAAGATGACGAAGGAAAGGGGAGCAGGTTGCTGGGAATATCGAGAGGAAGATGAGGACGTGTCGATACCTCGACCAAACAAGATTGAAATCTTCGTGGACGAGAATCATCGGATGAATCTCGAGGCCTGAGATGGGAAAGGGGAGATGAAAGCTCGCTGGCAAGGGTAGAGTTTGAGCGAAAAGAGAGAGAGAGAGAGAGAGAGAGAGAGAGAGAGAGAGAGAGAGAGAGAGAGAGAGGGAGAGAGAGAAAATGGCAGAGATAGTTTTGCAAGGGGTACAACGCGAGAGAAGAACTGCAAGGAACGTAAGAGCGAGCGATTTAGATAGAAGAAACCCTTCAGGCTGAGTTTTTTCCTGCCTCTGCTCTAAAGAAAACGGAAATAAGAAGTCCAGTCCCTCTTCCAATATGGTAATTCCAATCTGTCGTTGCTCGTTTCAAAGCACACTCTTTCTGCAGAGAACGAATTTCCTCGATACTCCTCGATTGCGAACGCGGGGGAGAATGATTCCAATCGATGGAAACGCGATTTTCAGAATTTATTCGCTTTAATCGTGAAAATGATTTGCGCACGTAAAAAGAAGTAGACAGCAACGACGGAAACGTGAAAACGTCGAAATCTCCGATGAGATTAACGAAGGAAGAAAGAGAGAGAGAGAGAGAGAGAGAGAGAGAGAGAGAGAGAGAAAGTTGAAAGAGGCGAAGGAGAGGTTCGCGGGGACAACAAGGACATTCATAATTATAACGGGATCATCCCAGGGGGATGTAACGCAAGGTAAACATATTTCGCGGCTACCTGCACCCTCGAGAGATCCGCCACTCTCTCTCCCTCTGCGCTCGCCTGCATAGCGGAACCGACGGCATCACGGTTAATGAAATACGTGACCGAAGCCTCCGTCATAATCTCAAACACTTGATTCCGCGATCCCGCTCGGAATTGAGAGGAACGAAGGGTCGGCTCGTCGTTTTACCGCGCGGAAAACATCCCCTCGGCGACCGTTGTTCCTACGTTTGATAATGCGTTGAATTTAAATTCTTTCTCCCTACTACGCCGTCCGTTCGATTTTATTCCTCGCGTGTAATAACACATTTCAGAAGAATTGAATTTGAATATATTTAAAAAAATACAAAATGTCGTGTAATTACAACGTCAAACTCGTTATTACGAAACTCTTTTCTATATAACTTTGAAACTTTTAAACTCTAACAACAGTTCCAGTCACGCTGTAAAAAAAGTTCCCATGGAATGCCCTAACTAAAGAAAAGGGAAGCAAACTTGCCATTTATCCAGGCAACGTTTCAGAAAATAAACTGAAATTTGTACGTGGAACGACTTGGCGACAGAAAGCTTAAAGGAGCTTTCTTTCCCGAGACATACCCAACCGAACGATTGAAAGAAGTCGACCTATGTAAAAGCCCGCCGTCTCTATTAGCAGCGAACCGGGGATGAAGGAGACATTAATTTCGGCGGTGTAAATTAAAAGGGAGTAGAAGGCATCATGGTGTGACTTACAAACGACGATGGTCGGTGTCATGGTAGCCTGCGTTGCGTCGATTCCACTTGCAGGACGCGTTCTAGTAACGCAATATTGGCGCTGCCGCGTGGAATACCAACGATACGGAGAAAGGTCGAGAAGGGAGTAGGAAAGGGGGTTGTCGATGCTCGTGGCCCAAGACAAGCTTCGTCTTCGTCAAGAAGGAACTTGCAGCTATGCTTCTCTTTCGTTCGCTCTCTCTCTCTCTCTCTTTTCTCTCTTTTTCGCCACCCTTCTCAGCGAAATGTAAAACTCGTGTAAGAAAGTTGGAAAAGGCGCTACGGGAAAAAGGAGTTTGCGATGGGGTGTTGCCGTATAGAAAGGCGAGAGCCTCTTAATGGTTGGAAATAATCGAATGACCCCCTTTCGCGAATTTCTTAATTCGCAAGTTTCCAGATGCCTCGGTCGCTGCTAGTGTGACGAGTCGAACAGGTGTCGCAGCTGCTTCCATTTCCTTAAACTCCCGGTGCTTTTCTCGACTCGTTACTTAGAGTTTCTTTTAAAGTACGTGACCACCGTTACTTCGTTTGGTTCGTTTATTTTTATCGAAGGTCGGACTTGGCATTTTACGAAATTTTTCTGCATTAGAAAAGGAAAAGTAATATGCGTGGTGATTCGTGTGAGGTGAATTTTGTTGAATCGATCATTGGTATAGACGAATTAGTTTGATATGGATGAAGTTAGTTCGTCTAGCGGAAAATCACATTGAATTAGCTTATGACGTAACTGCCAACAATGTCCCTAGAATAATATCCGTCAGTACAATTATCTATCGGTTAATTGCATGAACGTTACGAAAATCACGTTTATTAATTGAGTCACTGTAGCGACGAAAACTAATAATATAGATAACTATGAAATCAAGATAGAAAGAAGCATTGAAACGATAGATCTACCGATCTATTGTAATCGCGACATCTAGTATTGCTTAAATGTACAATTATTGTGTATGTGATATGCGTATATGTATTTGTACTATTTATAAGAAGCTCGAACGTATTGTCCCACATTACATTGTAATAAGAGTCCGCTGAATAATATTGTTGTTCCTAAGTAAATTCCAAAGTGATTATTAATTATTATAAAGCCACACTGCGCTACGCGCTCCAATGTTTCCAAAGGAAAACAAAGTTTTTATGAAAATAGACTTACAGTTAGATGTACGAGACGAATATAATCTCCAAGTTCCTAGAATATACGGCCATCTAGAATTTAGGAGTGTCTATAGGATAAAACGTATTACGAAATCGCGTATGCAATTACGTGACGCTGTACACGACCAGTTGACACTTGGCCGATTTTATAATCTCGGCACACCGTGGAAACCGTTAGTTGTACTATTCGAGGAAAGGTAGGCGGTTTACCATTTGCGTGTAGATGCAGCTGGCGCGTGGAACGTTCAATGAAAACCGTATCAAAAACAAACAGGCCCGAAGGGGTGATTTTCGCTCTCGTTTCGACATGTCTACGAGCGGCGATGCGTACGACGCGCGCGCAATGCACACGCGGAACGCTCGCGTTCGTTCACGAGCCGATAATTCCGAAAATTGCGTCGCCATATGCGTGACATCCGGTTTTTGTTCACCGCACCGTGATTCGATTCGGCGACTTATTCGCTTATAAATAAATTCCGATTGGATCGGACTGGTCGATCGTCGACGAAAATATTCGACGCGAGTCGACTGGTTCGATTTATCGATAGGAGTGCTCGATGCACTCGTAGAATATTCAAGTAGAACGTCGACGCAATGTTCTACCGATTGAAGCGCGTTCTCGCGTGGAAACTATTCTAGAAAAATCGGAAGAAATCACTCGTGGAAATGGAGAAAGCAGCTCGTGTATAGTGTACAGTGCTTGACGATCAGTTTTTGCTGGTATTTTGGTATTATAGTTCCGACAACGCAATATTTTCGACTCGTGCACGAGAGACACTTCGCGTAACTCCCTAACGCGTGGACTCCCTTCTCCCTTCCTGAGGATAACGGCGAAAGAACTTTTTATCCGACGCGTTCTCGTATCGCAGTAAGATCAACCCACGAACTTGTGAAAACGCAGAACACGGAAAAGAGAGTGTGAGGAAATGTGAAAATGCGTGAGCAACCTCGGTATTTGGTGAAATATGTCGCGATTTACACGGGAAATTGGCATCATTGGCATCTGGGGAGCAAGCGAGACAACACCCTCGTGCGTCAGGCTGTTCGAAAAGCAACCCCCAACAACGAAGCGTGTACGAATACCGGTGACTGGTCGGATCAAAAAAGCATTCGGGAAATCCAACGCTCGGTTTCACCGATGCAGAATCGAAATCGTTAGTAACCCTATCCGCGTTTGCCAGCAAGCTAGTAACCCTGGCCAGCCTAACTCGCGTTCTCTTTTTCACCGCGAGTTTTCGAACGTTTGAAACAATGGCTGTTAAAAATAATTAAAAGAGTTGCGTCAGGACTATTTGGGAAATTGCATTTTCCGAATAAATGAAAAAAAAATTGCTTTCCTCTCCGGGGATTTCCTAACGATTTTCAAATTAGAGAATAT